CTTGTAATACTTCTTGGCATACTTTGCCTTGCTTTTATCTAGCATGTATTCCGTCTCATCACTGAGTGGGTCAAAACGCTTAGCGTCTAATTCATCGTCAGAGTCGGCCTGTGGCTCGTCTCGGGTGTGCGACAGTGTCAGGGGCGACTTGTAAGTAAAATCGTCAATTTCACCTTTCTCTTCTGAAGAACTATCATCCTCGTAAGGATCGGTCGATTCACTGTCGTCTTCGTAACGATCTTTATCAATAGCTCCCTTGCGCAAACTTTTCTTAGGGATACTTCAACCACCCTACTTTTTGGGGTTGCCATCTTGGCCACACAAATTACTATCTGCTTCTCCAGAAATGTCATCTTGTCCAAAATCTTATATGATAAATGCTTTTCTATAGGTCTCACTGTCATTGGAGTTTTCACTTTACTATAATGGAAGTAGCAAATAAATAGCTGGATACCCCTAGATTTATTTTAATCTTTAATGATGCTATTAGATCGTATTTGAATGAATCTTCATCCCCCGAATTTTATTCAAAACCTTCTATAGGAGAAGGAATATCTTACCGTGGCCTTCAATGCAACCTTTGGATATATTGTCGCTATTTTATCAATAAACTATATGCGTCTTTCATTTATATGTCGACTTGATATATCGTAGTTAGCTCGAGATAAAAGTCATTACATAGTCTGGATTTGGATGTTTTACTAACTCTAGATGTAAATGGCAAACTAACACCTAAACTTTATGAAAAATGGGATGATTTCATCTTTATCATCATCAACTTCCCCAATTCATGTGATAATATCCCTTTATTACTTGCACATTCATTTATCATAGCTGATTTGGTTTATTTGCAAATACGTGTTTTCAAATAAAACCCATAGCTGCAAGAGTCGATTTTTACCGACCAAATTGTTAGGTAGACCGTTATTTCGTACTTATCTTGACTACGGACTACACCAATAACCTAATAAATACAGAGGCTCACAACGAATGTGACAGGCAGACAGGTAATGCTTAGTCTTTTTAGGCACCTGATCCCAACTTTGGGTTTTTACTTTAGTGTTTTAAGGGGTTTGGGTTCTTTACAATTTCACGATTTATATTGCTTTTAAGTTTTGTGGGATTTATCACTGCTTGTTATCTTCACCTTCTCATTTGCAGAAATGTTACAGTAATACTGAAATCAAATTTTTTTTAAGCTTACAGGAATTGAATTTTAATTTTTTTTTTATTTTCTAAATACTTTTTTTTATTTATCATGCAGAATGCTGTGTTTCGATAAGGATGAAGTGAAATGACTTAACAGAATTTTTAAAATATTTGTCCTTGAACATATTTGTTCTTGACTTAATTGACAAACTAATTCAGATATAATATATTGACCAGTCTTATGTCGATTCAATAATATTTATCATAAAGCAAAATTAATATTTGATTGTTATCTTTAAGTACCTCAATGGCCCTTAACCTATTTACTTAATATATCATTTAATTGAATAAAAAAAACTTCCCCTTTTGGCTCTTTTAAATGATGTTTAATGCTTAATTACTTGATTCAATTGTCCTATGTTGAATTCTAAAATGTGAAGTAGTTTTTACAATCAAAACATTATTAAACCTAAGGGAAGGGCAGAAAGTTTGACTGCATTAAGTGTTCCAAAATCTAATAGATAGAAATTTCTTATACTTTAAATGTCTATAAAAGTCTTTTGTCATCAAAACATGATGATAGTTAAGAAATAAAATATCACTTTCAGAGTTTCTTTGGGATATGACATGAAGTTGGTCACGTGATCAAAACTTATAACGCCCAGAGGGCGTTATAGTAGATTTGATCACGTTCAAAAGCGTCATGTCATATCCAAATGAAACTCTAACAAATGATATTTTATTTCTTATATTCATATCGTTATTTTTTTGTGTTACAAAGAAAAAATGCACTATCTAGACTTTGTTGTGGAAATGCAACATAACATACATGTACGACGTCATGTGAGGTCACAATCTAGACTTCCGAATGTCTCGTGCGGTTTGCCTTCTATACGCAAGAAAGTCTGATCATGCGACAAACTTCGTGTCATTGGAAATTTAATGTCAATTAAATTAATTTGTATTGTCATATACCGAAAGACATTGGCAAATGTAAAAGTTTATAGGTACATGTAATCTTGCTTGCTATTTAAAAATAAATTATAGCAAATATTGTCTTGCACGATAAACAGACGAAAAGAATAAGGAGAAGAGTGGTGTAGGAATGAAAATGAAGGAGCTAGATAGAGTAATGTAACAAAATTAAACGATGAGTGCAAAGATTGAAATGCGACATAGATGAGAAGCATTTCTATTACACATTTTTCATAGCATTAACGAAAGGTGACACCCTATGATACCTTTACTTCCAAGTATAAATTTTTCCTTAAAATGCGTGGAGTGTACAGCTAAACAAAATAAGAAAACTTGATTAAATTGATTTGTATTTGAATTCATTTTACGATTGAAATCTTCTGTGAAGAACAGAATAAACATTGTACATGTAGCACCTGTCTATAGATTTAACAATTTTTAAGCTTTTTGCGTAAATGAAGTATACTCTGTCTCAACTAGAATTAGTAACAGAATGTTAAATTGTAATTGTGAAGCAGACGAAAACCTTTACATCTGGTGTAATTGTCCTTGTCCTGGCAAAATAGAAGTTTTTCATCATGAAGTATGTAGAAAACATCAGAAGAGAAAGTCCGACAAGTAAGATGTTGAGCAAGGAAAACTACCAAAGAAAAAATAGATCTTCCGGGTTTTTTTTCCAACTTCTGTATCAGATCTAGAAATAATATGAAACCTCAATTCCAGATAAATATGATGATTGATTGAATTATTGAACCAATGGGCCAATTTAAACCAAACATACTACAAAGCATCCTTGGGATGAAGAGAATTTTAAGTTTGTTTAAATGAAGAGCCATGTAAGCCTTCAATTACGGAGAGATAATTAAGAATTTTATAAAATTTGGTTGCATTTTTTCTTCTCAAGAACCACTGCTAGAAAATTTTAAACTTATGTGAAATCTACATTACGAAGTGTAAATTCAGGCTTGATTAAATCATAACCCCTGGGGTACGGTACGGCCTAATGGGAAATAAAATTTTCCATAGGAATATATATGAAGAAATCTTTTTTAAATTTTCTCAGGAACAGCAAAGCCATGTTTAGTCAAATCGATAAGGAAGCATCCCCAGGTAGTGTAAATTCAGGCTTGTTCAATCATGACCAATGAGGGTAGGTTTGGGGCCACAATGGGAGGGGGAGACAATATTTTTTTTTTACATAGGAATATATAGGAAGAAATCTTTCAAAATTTGAAATAAACAGTAAAGCTATAATTAGTCATACTTATATACTAGTAAATGTATCTTTTGGTAGTGTAGGTTCAAGCTTGATCAAATCATGACCCCCTGATTAGGTTAAGGACACAATGGGTGATCAAAGTTTTACATAAAAATAATTATCGAGAAATAAATCTTTAAAAATCTGAAGGAAAAGAGCAACAAAGCCATGATTTTGGGGAAATTAATATGTGAACATACTTTTATAGATCTCGAACAGCAGGGCCAAATAGAAGCAGGTGAGTGATGTGGCCCATGGGCCTCTTGTTATATCTTGTTTTTATAATTACACTTAAAAACAGGCGTTTTCTGGGAATTTAATGATTGGAAGGATATTTGCGATTAAAATCAATTAGATTTAAAATAGCTTTTACCTCCTGACACGAACCATTTCCCGTTGATTAAACTATATCGAATAACAAAAAATATCTACAACTTATATAAAAATGATATAAATGATTTTCGATGACTCTGATACAGAGATAAGATCCAATATTTATAGAAATAACCAAAATATTTCCTGGGAAAAAAAACACTAATGCAAAACGTGAGAACGTTGACATAAAAATACATCCATCACTTGATACAGAACTATTTATCGTTTTGTGACCTAATCCCAATGTTTGCAAATTTCCTGACACATTAATCATAATGATAATTAAAACCTGTATAGCTAAGAAGACCGTGAATTACAAGAAATTACTGTATTGTAAGTATTTTAGAGGTTTTGTAAGTTAATTTAAAATACTTGTATCATGGGATACAGATTCTTTTTGAAATAAGTCTTTAGGAATCATGATTTAGATCTATTTTGTCAATAAGTATGAATCATTTTTAACCCTCTACATGAAGGAATCAATACATATAGGTAACCTTTATTTGACATAAACAAACTCTCCTTGTTAAGACAATACATTTAAGAATTTTGGCGGGGTTTTAAAATTTTAAGGACTATCAACACATAAAACTATGCATTCTGTAAAAAGAATCTAAACTAAAAGGAAGATTAAGCAAAACTTACAAGCTAAACTCACTTTAGCCACAAGAATCATTATGAACTTGAAATCATTTTTTACTGCTGAAATTAGCCATGATAAAATTAAGAATTAACAAAAAATGTTGCTTATTGGGTGACAATACAATTTCTTAAAGGATTTTCCTTACGGTTTTAAAGTACTTTGATATATATATATATATATATATATATATATATATATATATATATATATATATATATATATATATATATATATATATATATATATATATATATATATATATATATATATATATATATATAATGTTTCTATCTACGTCACTCTTGCCATGCTCACCTCCACCGCGTGCTGTTCCTAAATATATTAAATAAAAAGGACTTCAACAACTTATTGAATCAATTATAGCTTGCATGAAACTCATAGAAAAATTAAAACAATATATCAGGAACTTGTATATTAACTTTGATAACTTTTATTAATCATATGATTTTCTAAACTGAAAATTACTCAAAGAGGAAGAATCGTAATGTACATGTACAAAAGACGAAATTTTTAAATCTATTCTAATGTTACCACTCACTTCTGCTTGCATCACTCAACCTTGATCAGCAAGGGAAAAATATGGAGGACGTTAACACAAATAATGAAGAAAATCCACCATTAAACGTAGCAGAAGTGGAGGCAGAATTAAATACTCAAGCAATCTGTGTGAATGTAAAAGATCTCGACCCAAATGCCGCCATAGAATGTGTATCGGACGATGAAGTGAGGTTTAAAGGATTGGGAAAGAAGGAGTTGATGCAGTATGCCGACGATCCATTCTGGAAAAGGTTGCGTCTTATTCTCCACATCCTCTTTTGGGTGGGATGGATTGCCATGTTGGTAGCGGCTATTATTATCATTGCACTGGCTCCTAGATGTCCTTACAGACCAGACCAAAAATGGTACGACAAAGAAGTCGTCTACGAAATCTTACCAGAATCTTTCCAGGACACCAGTCCCAAGTCAGAAGGCGTTCAGAAGGAAGGAGGTGGAATTGGAGACATTAAAGGTAATTATGTAATTGAATTATATTTTGATTGGTTATACTTGATATTCATGTGTTTATGTGTTATTCTGTATTGATCTTCTGTAAAAAATAAAAATGTATTTGTTTAACACCAAGAAGGAAAATTTTGATAGTCTACAAGAGATATACAAAGTACAACCCTGTCAAGGATATTTCTGTCGATATATTGCTTTAACTAGAACAAGCACCGTAAATTTTGAAAAGTGTTAACATTATGAGCTCAATTTTTCAAAGAATTTTCAAAACAGACCCAAATCTGCTTAGGCAAATAATGCTGTTTTCATCAAAACTCAATATTAATTGATTAAATATGAATTCATTTATAATTCTATTAGCATTTAACAGAGACTTCAATTTAATTAATAAAAATATCAACTCTGCCATTAATACACTGTAGGTTTGTTTACTCTATTTTCTGTATATGCAAGTTTTAATTATAAGGTTTTTTCTCGATATTTCACAGGAATCGCATCTAGGCTTGACTACTTAAAAGAGGATGTTGGAAGTAATGTACTCTATATAAATTCAATCTATGAAAGTGAAGATAATGAACACATGGCAGTTGTTAACCACAAGATTTTCGACGGTGTACTAGGAACTATGGAAGATTTTGAACAGCTTCGCAAAACCACTAAACAGATGGAGAGTAAGTTTACATATATCAATTGAGTACATGTATGTAATAGTATTTGAAAAAAAAAGTTTAGCACCAAGTTCCTTTTCTTGCCAAGGATGGTTAAGATTTTGGTATTAAAGTGCCATGTAAATAATTAAAAATATGTCCGAATTATACAACTATGAAACCTTGGGTCGATATTTTTTGTCAAGAGTAAATTACATGTACAACACTTGCTAATGGTTTGATTGTATTAGTATTGTGTTTTATAAACAATTCTTATCACTAGTGCGCCTAATCTTGGACTTCATTCCTAATCATACTGGGAAGAAACATGAATGGTTTGTGAAGAGTCAGGTGAAAGATGGAAAATACACAGAATATTATGTCTGGGCTTCGTGTGATAAAAATTCGGACATCTATCCCAACAACTGGGTAAATGACTTAATTATGATGAAAACTATCTCCATTCTGACTTTCTGTAGTATTGATAGACTAGTTCTGTTTTTATATTTTTTATTGAGATTGTTAATTCTATATCCGTATACATATATTAATTTGGTCTCCAGATGAGTCAGAAAGGCGGTAGAGCATGGACGTACGATGACATCAGAAAGGAATGTTATCTCCATCAATTAGAGAGCGATAAACCGGACCTGAACCTCTGGAATACTGATGTTCGGTAAGAATTGGAGGTGTGTGAAGGCATTTTAAACAAGGGGAAGCAGTTGAAATTTCGTTAGCAAAAACTTAAAGTAAAAGATTATTTTTTTATCAGGACATACTACGTTTCTGGCTTGACAAAGGAGTGGATGGGTTTCATATTTTAAATACCGAGTATTTGTATGAAGATCAGAATATTGGCGACGAAATACTGATGTCTGGAAAAACAGGAACGGTAAGAAAGTATACATAAAATTATATTTAAATTCTACACTTATATATGAATTGGTTGTCAAAATCATGGGAAATATTTTACAGGCATATGACAACTTTGAGCAAAACCAAACCATGAATCATCCAGAGAATCTGAAGCTGCTGAGTACCTGGAAGTCAGTACTGGACTCCTACAATACAAAACCAGGTAAAGAAAAAGCTCTTGTTGTCACAGCTAAGGATGATTTAAATTCCATGATGAAATACTTTGAGGCTGGGGCCACCATTGTACGTGTCACCCCAATGGCGAACATCGGTGACTCACTGGCTGAACGTATCGAAACCAAACTGAAAGACATCAAGGCCAAGAGAATTGGATGGATGGTAAAAACAAACCCATTATTCAATTTCAATCTTCTGTCTTAATTGTAATTTTCACAGTAATGGATGAAACAAGTAAAACTATTTTCATCGAGTGAAACGTAAAGCTAATTAATGATTTTCAGTATAGCAATAAGGATTCCAGTCGTCTAGCAAGTAAAGTTAATCCTGAGCAAGTCAAAGCTTTGTTGACTCTTCAAGCCACTTTGCCTGGAGTTTCCTTTAATTACTATGGAAATGAAATAGGAATGACCGACCATCCATCACTGCCAGAGCCACAGAAATACTGAACCCCTATGCAGTGGACTCATAAAGGAACAGGGTTTTCAAAGCATAACAAATGGCTCGCGCAAAACCCTAATTATGATAGTGTTAATGTTGAGGTTAGAAAATAATAATAATTGATCATGGGTTCATATGATGAAGGGAATAAAATGTTGAAGTTCAATAGAATGAAGATTTGTAGTATACCTAAATTTCTGACATTTACAGGTGGAAATGGCTATTGGAGATGAATATACCACACTTAAGGACATACGCAACGTATCTTACCTACTGATAAATTTTCAAGATATTCTTAATTTAAGATTATAGTGCCATCAGAAGTTCGTAGACAAAAGATCAGCATGCATTACCAGGGGTTTTGAAAAGATATCAATTGATGAAAATTCTTGTATAATTCAAAGAAAAATACACAAAAATTACAAAACATATATTCTAGATGTTTTGTTTATCCAAACTTATTTTAGAAGAAGCGTACAACAGCATATATAGACATAAAAATGTAGCACACAATTCCTTTAAGTATTGGAACTCTTCAAATCCAGGGAAAGAGACAATAAAGTTCAAACTACATTGCGTATGTCCTTAAGGTGTTTGGAAGACTATCTAGACTTAGAGAATTTGAATCCTTCCAGTGGGGTCACATGAGTGTTTATAGAGATAAGGATCTCCTAATGTTCAGTAGAAAGGCCGAGGGGTTTCCAGGATACCTGGTGGTCATTAATCTTGGATCCAAGAGAGTTACCAAGTCCTTAAATTGGACCACTGAAATCCCTAAGAATGTCGAGGTGGTGTTCCATACCCACATGGATGATAACACAGCCATCAACCTGTCTAATAACTTCTACATTGTGGAAGCAAATCACGCAATAGTTTTTAAATACGACTAAACCTGAATGTTCAAATTTCAACAAACTACCTCTAACGCGCGGTATTCAATTTGTCGGCACGGTTTGGTGCTGTTATAGGACATACGTCATCCAAAAATAAGAATTCAATGCTTAAATAGTTTTCTGCGTGCAACTGTTTATACCATGCAATTTCCTATATGGACATGTCCGTGTAACCTTTTTTTCTGCCTTTCTATACTACAGGATCAGTCCATTTGCTTTAAGGAAATGAGCGACACATTCATTTCGCCCAAAATATCCCGAATTAATCTTCACGCTTTTTCCTTGAAATATTCTATTGAGTGGGACCAGGATTTGATAATTTCTATGGAATTGAATTAATTTTCGTAACTTGATTCTCAAGATTTAGAATTTAATTTTTCTCATTAAAAGAAATAAATACCGTTTATTTCACAGACAGTATTCTTTTCAATATACATGTAAACATCCACTTCAACAAGGGAAATTGTGTTCTTTTTTTCCCTGAAATTCTTGTTTCATGCACTTTATACACAGGATCGCGATTACTTTTTCATTTAATATCAACATGCACATCCATATGGCCTTACTTCCTATATTAAGGTTTTAAAAACATTGGTATTTCTCTTCCAAATTTGACTGAAAGTGAAATTATTCGTAAAATAATCATGCATAAAAGTACAAGCTACAATTAATTTAGTCTCTATAAAGATATGAATTTCTTTAAATTATTACAACTGGTACAATAAGTACACATAGGTGTCATATATTCAGCTGTACTTTGGCATTTCTGTCAGATCTTCAGAATCTATACCTTCGAAGCTAATTTTTGTAACCTTTACACAAGCACAGGTTCACAGTATATACATGTATTAGCTACATTTATTTGTTTACCTCACTGTACTTCATTTTAATTCAAAACCATTTATAATAAAGAATCTTAAATATCATATCATATTACTGTAACTTCTTTCAAATGTTGTTCACATTCATGTACATTCCACTTGTATTCCTGTTTTTGAGAAACGAATAATAAATATGTTCACATAGGTTTTGTTAACTTTCCATTCTTCTGATCAATCACAAACAAGATAAACTTAAAAAAACATGATGTTTTGTACAAAGTCTTCAAACATATTGTTATGAAATACTCTCCCCCCCCCCCATTTAAAAAAAATTGGAAGAAAACGTTTATCGCTTATCATGCTTAAAAGTCCGATAAATATTTGATTGCTTAAGTCAAGCAAGCTTTTTTGCGTGGACCTTGAAGTCAATGCAGAAAATATATAAGCGAGGTAAAACCGGATGCTATGGAGAAAGGTAAGACTGCTTATGCCTCAGAATGCTGTGGGCCTTTTTACACAAAATCTGAGGACTAAGATAAATATTTTCCCTTTCTCCAAGGATATCTTGTCTGTAGTAGGTCACCAAGCATCTAAAATTTCTATTAAATTAGATTGAATTGTAAATAATATTTAAGAAACAAGATGTGTTTGTGAAACACTGATGCCCCCCGTATGGCAGCTTATGGCGAAGGTCAAAGTTTCTCAAATGCAAGTCAAAATCCAGGCCAAAAGATAAAAGATGTTGGTACCCAAAGAAAGGTTTTGTCTCGAGGAATATACATGTGAAATTTGAAAGACTTAGCGCCAACTGTTCAAAAGTTATGGCGAAGGTTAAAGTTTTTTAAAAGTAAGTATAAGTTCAAGGTCAAGGTCAAAGTGGTATCCAAAGGAAGGTGATGTCACAAGGATTACATACGTGAAGTATGAAAGCCCTAGCACCAACCATTCAAAAGTTATTGCCAAGGTTAAAGTTTTTCAAAGGTAGGTCAAACTCCTATGTCAAGGTGAAAGGATCAAAATGGTTGGTATCCAAAGGAAGGTGATGTCACAAGGATTACATATGTGAAGTATGAAAGCCCTTGCGTCATCCATTCAAAATTTATGGCCAAGGTTAAAGTTTTACAAAAGTAGGTCAAACTCCTATGTCAAGGTCAAAGGGTTAAAGTGGTTGATATCCTAAAAAAGGTCTTGTCACATGGATTACATATGTGAAGTATGGAAGCCCTAGCTCCAACCGTTCTAAGGTTATGGCCAAGGTTAAAGTTTTTCAAAGGTAGGTCAAACTCCTACGTCAAGGTCAAAGGATCAAAATGGTTGGTATCCAAAGGAAGGTGATGTCACAAGGATTACATATGTGAAGTATGAAAGCCCTTGCGTCATCCATTCAAAATTTATGGCCAAGGTTAAAGTTTTACAAAAGTAGGTCAAACTCCTATGTCAAGGTCAAAGGGTCAAAGAGGTTGATATCCAAAAAAAAAGGCCTTGTCGCATGGATTACATGTGTGAAGTATGAAAGCCCTAGCTCCAACCGTTCAAAAGATATGGCCAAGGTTAAAGTTTTCCAAAAGTAGGTCAAAATCCTACGTCAAGGTCAAAGGGTCAAAGTGGTGGGTATCCAAAGGAAGGTGATGTCACAAGGATTACATATGTGAAGTATGAAAGCCCTAGCATCATCCATTCAAAAGTTATGGCCAAGGTTAAAGTTTTTCAAAAGTAGGTCAAACTCCTAGGTCAAGGTCAAAGAGTCAAAGAGATTGATATCCAGAAGAAGGTCTTGTCACAAGAACTACACATGTGAAGTATGAAACCCCAAGCACCAACTGTTCAAAAGTTATGGCCAAGGTTAAAGTTTTTCAAAAGAAGGTCAAACTCCAAAGTCAAGGTCAAAAGGTCAAAGTTGTCGATATCCAAAGGAAGGTCTTGTCACAAAAAATACACATGTGAGGTTTGAAGCCCCAAGCACCAACTGTTCAGAAGTTATGGCCAAGGTTAATGTCTCATAAAATTTTGCAAAAGTGGGTCAAACTCCAAGGTCAAGGTCAACTGTCAAATATGATGGTACCCAAAGAAAGGTCTTGTCACAAGAAATACACATGTGAAATATGAAAGTCATAGCTGCAACCAATCAAAAGTTATTGGCAAGGTTAAAGTTGACAACAGACAGACAAATAGACAAACGGACAGACAAACAGACAAACAGACAGACAGGACAAAAACAATATACCCCTGGATCTTTCGATCCGGGGGCATAAAAACTAATACCTTTATTGAACAAAAAATTACAGAGTTGTCAAATTTTAATCTTAGTCGTAAGCTTTTTGTGAAAAGAGCCGCTGGAAAGTTCACCCCTAGGACCACTTGCCCTGGGACAATGTGTATATGTATATATATATATATATATATATATATATATATATATATATATATATATATATATATATATATATATATATGGGTAAAAATAATATTTACCAGATAGGTTTCTTTTTGTACAAGCCTTTTATAAAGAAGGAAGATTTCAGACGTTTTCACAGCTTAAGGACATACGTAACGTAGTGTGAACTTTATTGTCTTTTTCCCTGGAGTTGAAGAGTTCCGATACTTAAAGGAACTGTGAACTACATTTTAATATCTGTATATGCTGTTGTACACTTCTTTTAAAACAAGTTTGGATAAACAAAACATCAAGAATATATGTTTACTAGAAATTTTTGTATACTTTTCTTTGAATTATTAAAGAATTTTTATCAATTGATATCTTTTCAAAACCCCTGGTAATGCATGCTGATATTCTGTCTACGAATATCTGATGGCACTATAATCTTACATTAAGATTATCTTGAAAAATTATCAGTAGGTAAGGTACGTTGCGTATGTCCTTAAGTTAAAAACTGAATTCGACGAATAGGCTTTTTGAAGACAGGACATACTTCCAGCATCAGTTTATGCATCCTGATCCGCTGGAAGCAATTTCAGTTGGGGTGGGGTACAATATAACAAAAGAATTTCTTGACAAGCAAAGCAAAAAAAAAAATTGACGTCTCTTGAGGGGGGAACGACCGAAAATAAATTAACTTACGAGTACATTTCTATTTATTAGTTTTTTAATGGCAAAACTATTGAGGGGGGGGGGGCAGAGCTGTAAATCAACTTTATTTTCTATACTAAAGATTTACTCGCCAGATTACCCCCTCCCCCATTCCTAGGAGTTTCATATGCTGTCTTGAAAAAAGATTTCTCATTTCTTCAAAGGAATGTATTACAACACTGCTTAAAATGTTTTAAACTCTGAGCTTTTAGAAGCAAAACATTTCACATACAGGTTACTATGGTACATGGATGACCCCCATTCCAACATTCCAAGATAAAAGGCATTCTAACATTCCACCATAGAAGGTCAATGCTATATTAGATGACTTGATCAAGTATTATTGATATCTAGTTTTAGTAATTAAAATATTAAGTTAGATGCTTCAAGATGTCAGAAATCTTTTTTACGACACATTTTCATTAAAGCACATGTTTAGCTCACTTGAGCCGAAGGCTCAAGTGAGCTTTTCTGATAAAGATTTGTCCGTTGTCTGTCGTCGTCGTTGTCGTTGTAAACTTTTCACAATATCATCCTCTTTTCCAGAACTACTGGGCCAATTTCAACCAAACTTGGCACAGAGTATCCTTGGGTAAATGAGATTCAAGTTTGCTCAAATGAAGGGCCACGTCTTCTTCCAAGGGGAGATATTTACAAATTAGTGAAAAATTAATGGCGTTTTTTAAAAATCTTCTTCTCAAGAACCACTGGGCCAGGAAAGATGAAACTCATGTGGAATCATCCTCAGGTAGCGTAGATTCAAATTTCTTAAAATCCTGACCCCCGGGGATAGGGTGAGGCGACAATGGGTGATCAAAGTTTTACATAGGAATATATAGGAAATTTTTTTTAGAAATCTTCTTCTCAAGAACAGCAAAGCCATGGTTAGTCATATTTTTATGGAAGCATCCTCATGTTGTGTAGATTCAGATTTGTTCAAATCATGACCCCCTGGGGTAGGGTGGGGCCACAATGGAGGATCACATTTTTACATAGGAATATATAAGAAAAATCTTTAAAAATCTTCTTCTCAGGAACAGCAAAGCCATGATTAGTCATATTTATGTGGAAGCATCCTCAGGTGGTGTAGATTTAAGTTTGTTCAAATCATGACCCCTGGGGTAGGGTAGGGCCACAATGGACGATCAAAGTTTCACATAGGAGTATATAGAAAAAATCTTCTCACGAACAGCAAGGCCATGATTGGTTATTAACTATTAGGAAGTATCCTAAGGTAGTGTAGATTCATGTTTGAAAAAAATCATGACCCCCTGGGGATATGGTGGGGCCACAATTGATGATTAAAGTTATGCATAGGAATACAAAGGAAAAAATTTTAATAATATTCTCAAGAACAGCAAAGCTATGATTGGTCATAATTATATGGAAGCATCCTCAAATAGTGTAGATTCAGATTTGTTTAAACCATGACCCCCGGGTTAATGTGGGACTATAATGAAAGTTCAAATTTGTGGGGGAAAAGTCACAAAGAAATATATAAGCATCTTTAGTTAGTGTAGATTCAACTTTGTTCAAATCATACCCCCTCCCCGGTCCCTTTTCAGGGGTAGTTCGGGACCACTTATGCATTAAAGTTTTTCAATACTGAACTGATTTTTGCTTTTTTCCTAGCCACAGTGCTCAGGTGAGCGATGTTGCCCATGGGCCTCTTGTTTTTAGAAACACATGCCTATGGTCCACGTATTGAAGGACAGCAACTTGTTGAAAAGCTTTTCAAATAAAATCTCGTTATTAATTATTCAATTTTCTTTTTCGTTTATTACCAGATAATAAATATAATTCGTGATTTTATGAAAAGTGTTAAGAAGACTATTACTCCCTAACATGAGTGTGAGTAAGACATGGATATGAGTTTCCGGATATCAATTGGAGTACCAAAAATTAAAAAAAAAGTTTGTAGACCAAGTAAATATTATTTAGTACATAGGCCTATGACACGAAATAAATATGAACTTGTATCTCTACAAATTAGTGAAAATGTGTGAAGCATTTTCTTTTACGGTATATTTTGAAAGAATAACAATAATATGAAATTGATAGTAGAATTTAGATTTTGACTCAGTAGATAATATTATGTTATATTAAAGCTGCCCTTTGGATTGGCGGATCAGATATTTTTGTGGAGGGAAAATGGATATGGATGACTAGCAGAAAGATGATTGCTGAGCAATCGTACACAAACTGGTATCCTGGTGAACCAAATAACTATAATGCAAACGAGAATTGTTTAGAATTGGAGGGATCAAAGTATTTGTGGAATGATGACGCATGTTCAAAACAGTAGCATTTTATATGTGAAAAATTGTGAGCCTTAAATTCTATATTAGTTTACCTTTCAAAAAATTAATATACGTACATAATACATATATTTCGTACTAGAATTTATAATACGTTTATTAAATATTTAAGAAGGGAAAGAATAATTCAGATCATGAACATTTACTTAATCTTAAATCATAATTCGTTCCACTAAGAACAATGTTTGTTTTTATAGGATGTACATACATAGAATCCTGTGAACTAAAATTTATTTGTTATTTTTTCAGAGCTGCTGGTTATCCTGTTGTGGAATGAAAAGTCCATAATTTTTTTTTACAATAAAATATTTCGGATCAGGGAAACGCTTCATGGTATATTGGATAATTATAATACAGCGACAAATAGAGACACGTAAAGGAACGGTTACATGCTCAGTATGACTGAAACTTCATCAACGTTATAGTAAAAGAGCAACAATACTCTTGCCTAAATATTTGATCGAAAAAAGACTTTGTTCTTGGAGTTCGCCGTCATCAACAGATGATACCCTTTTATTCCATTTTTCTTAAAAGTTTTACTGCTTTCGTTCAGTTTCTCAAAAACAACTCAACAGATTTGCAAAACAAGACTGGTTGATGCTCTTAATTAACTCTAATATTAGTTAGCATTGGTACTTTCCTTCCTGGTTTTTGACGGATTTTCATTGTACAAGTCATGTATGTACAGTTCCTCTGAAGCAACTTTGATAAGAACCTGAAAAATTAAAGGATGATAGATAATGACAAAAAAGATGTACATTAGTTTTTGCTTAAGGTACTTAGGGTCACCACTTGGAACAAATAAAAAATATGATGATATTAGCCGTAAATATATCATAATAATGACTTTATTAATAATAAATTAATAATTTTTAATGGAGTTGGATTGTCTCTATGAAGTGGAAAATCCCGATTATTTCTGATGGAAAGTTTAGCTTCTGCCTCCTAGAACTACTTATAAATACAAATTTACAGATTATAAAGTGGTTAGAGTTTGGGTAACCCCATTTAATGGCACAGAATTGATAGAATGGTCATACCTTTTTACAATCAACAACGAATGGAGAAAACAATTAATACGTACACCCCCTCGGTGTTAGTGGTGTTGATATGTCTACCGTCGATTCAGTTGGTTGCAAAAATGGAGTAGAAACTGTTTGGAAGAAAAAATAATCATAGCAACGAGAGAGAGAGAGAGAGAGAGAGAGAGAGAGAGAGAGAGAGAGAGAGAGAGAGAGAATTCCTTTGGAACGAAAAAAAAAGATGTTAAATGTAAAAACATTATTAAATTTATTTTTAAAAATTAATTCAAAGGGAGAGTATGGGGATGACCAATTATGACAGTGGGAAAGGGGTCAAGTGATCAGCTCTAGCATAGTGATATTATCCTGATTTTAAAAAATAAGAATTAAATTCAAGTATCCTCAAATGAAACAAGCACTCAAACTGAAAAATAACATACACAATAAAGGACATTAATGTTATAATTAAATTAAATAATATATGAATTAAAGAGGAGAAATGTAATTTCTTTTCCTTTTGACCTTTTGGTTGACCCGCAAAGGGGCACAACTTTTCACAAAGTGTGGATTGCACCATTATCAACAGGAAGCTGAAAAATATCCATAATCCATTTTTTAATATTTAACCCCATCCATTTCCCCATTTTTTTTTTTATTTTTTTATTTTTGGGATGAAAGGATTGGTATATGATTTTTCATGGGGGTTGGTTAGTGATCATCAAGATATTATAGTATTCTAAGACACTTTTCAGCACCCTGTGACAACAAAATCATCTCTTTTTCCACCTCTAATCTCGGAAGAACTCCTACATACATATAAAACAGGTAGGTGGCATTGTTTCCAGTTGAGTAGAGAATGAAGAAGGAAAAATGAATATTTAAAAAAATACTATTGAAAACGAAAATAAAAAGTTTCAGGTACAATACTTATGTCTCCAAAAGCCAGATCTAGAAGAGGAGAAAGAATCCATTCTCATTTTCAATACTTGGGTACATTTTAGTGAGGGAGAACTCAACAACAAAAAGTGGCGGACCCAGAAAGACTTAGATTGAAAATTTCTTTACAAAACGTAACAGACTTTTTGTGGGTGAAATTAAATATGAAGATAACGAAGCTCAAAAGCTATTCAAACAATACATGAACAAATCAGGACCAGAGCAAACACAGACCTCTAAGACATCAGACATGGAATCAGGTGCCATGGAGGAGTGAGCATCCTCTGTTGACCGGTCACACCCGCCGTATGTTCCTTGTCATGACCGGGAAAAGCGGAAAAATCCGTATACAATTCATTTCATTTTACTTTCAAGTTAAATACTAAAATCTGATTGGTTAAGACGCATTTAACAATACGTTATGTTACCCTCAGCGTCAACACACTGACAACGGGTAACACAACGAAAATTGTCACATGCGTGTAAATCATGCGCGTATGGTAGAATTCTCAATACGTCATGATCAGTTGTGCGTTTGAAAGAAGCCGAATAAACTTGACGGCAATCAAACTTGCGTCCGATTTGGTTTAATTGTAAACAACAAACGACAGACGGAAAATGGTTTAGAGTGTGCAGAAATAACGAAACTTAGATGATAAAGGACTCTTTGTGTATCAATCTCACAATACAGAGGTCGGTAAATCTTTTTCGAAACTTTCTTATTGAGAAAAACAGAATAAAAGAAATTTGAAAGCGTCTAAATGTGAACTTAACGACGATTGAAACATTTTTTGCTTTTCCTAAATCAATAAGACATTTAGTATAATAGAATAATTGGTGCATGTTTTCGAGGGTAACTGTCGAGATTGACATCCCTCAGAAAATCATTGTCAACTTCCGCTGACGCGTCGGTTCACAATGATTTTCCTTGGGGTGTCAATTTCGACTGTTACCCTCCAAAACAATACCCATTTATATAGTGTATATAATGGCCTAACAATAAGTGTGAAAACGTCAGTCAGCATTCAACTTAATGATAAATTGTATCTGTTGACACGGTCATTTTATCGACCAAAGAACTTGGTCGAGAAATGATGACTTTAAACGAGACTGTTGATATTCTTGTTTCATCATAAAGTTTGTCAAAAGCTTGCTTCGTTTTTGAATTGTTCGTACGTAGAGCATGCTCTTGCATAGCGAATCAGCTGAGAGACATAAACCCATATGCAGACCTGGGATAAAGGTGTATTACTATATAAGTAAGGGAAGTTGATGATAGAAAAGTTGAAGTCATCACGTTCCTGATAAAGATTTGTTGTTAGATTATCATTAACGTTTTTCTCGTAAAATATCCAAACATGAAACAGAAGTGTCAGTTTCTATGGTACATGTATCTTTTATTTCAAGCTCACTGGTATATATCAAATCGACATATGAATAGAAGTAACTATTGTCATTTGATAATACGTCGTCGATATATCAAAATGTCGATTTGAAGGCCACAGCAAGTGTCTTCTTCTCCTGTATAAGTTTCTGAATGAATTCTGCTTCTTATGAATACAATAATGGGGCGCAATTGGTACATGTACCCATGGGAATTCCAACAGATTGGAAGACTGATGGGTACTGTTTTAATAATTTTGGATGCATTTCTCTGAAGATTTTCATATGCAGTAGGAACTGGTCTGGTAAATGCCGATTGTCCAAGTAACTGGATCCGACATGCGGAATCCTGTTATCTGTTTGTAAATCACCACGTTGCCGACTGGAATGGAGCCATGGTTTGTATCTTTCTCCTAAATAAGGACTGAATTCTGATAAATGTCTAATGTACAGTGAATCCCTTTTTATTCACCAAAACTTTTTTCTTAGTTATGTGAGACAGTCCTCTTTTTAAAAAAATCATAGTTCAAGAATGTATACAATAATAACCCACTTTTGTGAAAATTTCTTCTCTTCGCTTATTATTTGAGTATCTAAAGACTTCTCACTAAAATAAGGCAGAGCGAAAAATTGATGATCTATAGTGTCATACATGTAGTACTAGAATGCATTGTGTACTGGTATCTCAGAATGCATTGTAAAAACTGAGTGGGTCTTCTAGAGTAACTCTAGATGTCATAAGAGGGAAAATTTTGGGATGTTGAAAACATAATATCAGCTGTAGGTACAAAATTGAGATTTATTTTAGGAATGCACCTATTAAAGTTGTGGAATTTTTTAATAGCCTCCAGCTAAATGAGCAATTTTACGCTTAACAGTCATGACCTCATTTATTGGCTCGAACTTCAGTTGATCGCAATTTGCTACCAGATTGGTTATAGACAGGTTCAGATCAGAACTTCTTTTTTGGACGCCATCTAGCGTTAATTTACTTAATGGCTGTTGGTTTTGCATCGGTGATCGTTTGTTTCAAAAGACACACTCGCACGATCACAAACTTTGATATCGCAACTATGATTCTCTCTCTCTTTTTTTTTTACATAAGAAGTATATTCTACCTTATTACATTATCCTTACATATCGTAACGAATTTCATTTTTCATGAGTTGACAAATCTCAAGTCTACAAAAGTTTATTTTTACATTTTGCACAGGTCTGTTAAGTGGATAGTTAACATAAACAAGTTGGGATAGGACATTTTGCAAATTACAAATTTACATTCATTTTGGAAATTACAGAGTAAACCCTTTGGCTTACCGTAATTTACATACTTAATTTACAATCTACCATTAATTAATAGTTAGCGAAGGTCTCTTCTTTTTTATATGCCATCTAGCCTCAGTTTGGTAAGTTAATGACTATTGGTTTTGCATCCGTGATCGTTCTTTTTGCATCGGTGTCTGTTGATTTTTCAATTGAGTCTGTTGATTTTATTTCAAATTGTTCGTAAATGTATTTTAGCAAGTATGTTCTTTGAGCATTAGTTTTTTTTTACCCTTTCTGCCGCCCATACATGAGCATAAGTTTCAAATAATATTATGATAAAATATCCACACGAGTTTTGTCACTTTTAAATAAACTGAATGTAATAAATATTTTTTTCCCTAATTTTATAGTTCTTCTGTGCGAACATGGACTCAAAATTGGTTGAAATCGAAACATCATCCGAGGACGCATTTCTTAATGCGCATGCCCATGACTTAGGAAGAGATGAGAGTATATAATTATTTCAATATTTACTATTCATCAAATTTTATGAAGGTTGAGACACATTTATATATAGTTTTCTTCATAAATGTTTGTGAAAGGCCTGCTAGGATGTTTTATGTTTTAACTCAAGATATTAAGTTCCCCGAACTGAAACCACATATTGAATATACATGACGTACATGTAGTTTGATGTTTAGTTGGCCTGTATCCCTAGGTCTATTATTTTTTCTTAAGTGCAACTAGCCTGGTAAATTTCACTTCAAATTCCCACTGAGCAGCCTTGGTTAAAGGGATTCACGTTTGTTCAGATGTAAAAAGGGATGTTTTGTTTTGTTCCTTTTTTCGAAGGAAAATGAACTTGTCGTGTTTATATTTTTTTCCGGAAACAAAAATATGAACTTAATACAAACAGTCAATGTAAGCGTATATACTTGCCTATAAGTCGGTTCACTTATAAGTCGTTTAAAGGTTATTTTTGGAGGGGCATTGACCCTCTTATAAGTCGGTACACAACCTTTTTGTCAGAATCAGTAGACAATTTCAAATCAATGCTCTAACGTTTTACCTGTGTTTCAAGAAATATTTTGGAAATTACACTGATGTATTTTTTTATTCTCAACAAATCAATTTCATATCAATACTCTAATATACAGTATTTACCCGAGTGGTGTTCAAATGATAGTTAGGTGTTCCGTTGGGGCCACTCGCACCTTCGCACTCTCGCCTTTAGGGCGAAGATGCGAGAGTGCAAAGTTGCGAAGGCGAAAGAGCGAAAGTGCGAAGATGCGACGGCGAAGGTGCGAAGGAGCGATACTAGTATCGCTCCTTAGCCTTCGCAACTTTGCATTTTCGCCCTCGCATCTTCGCACTTCTGCCTTTTTTGTGGAGTTCTCTATCGTTTGAAGATAATTTTATTTATAAAAATGGCGTCTGCAGAAGAAGATGAACTGTTCAGTCTGTTGCGAATATATTTCCAGCAAGGATTTTCGCATAATGAAATTCGAATGTTATTGTATTTAAATCACGCTATTTAAATAAGGTATGCTATCTAAGAAAAGTGACAGGAGTTTTGAATTGCACAAACATGTAGTGTTCATCACGTTTTAAAACAGAGTTACATAATCATGATAATGTTCAAGCCTAGTTGTACACTGGTTAACAGGTTAAAAGATATGTCAGATAACCCTGTAAAATATTAATGAAATTTTAATAATTAATTAATAGTAAGCACGACGGCCTAAATTTTACAACTTTTTTAGTCTCATAACGCCGTCACACTAATCTAGCGCTTGCGTACTAATAACATCCAAGAACCCACTAAAATTAACTCATAACGATAAAGAGCTCCACGGAAGTAAAATGCGAAGGCGAAAGTGCGAAGTTGTGAAGGCAAAAGTGTGATATTAGTATCGCTCCTTCGCCTTCGCACCCTTGCCTTCGCATCTTCGCGCTTCGCACTTTCGCTCCTTTGCCTTTGCAACTTCGCCTTCGCAACTTCGTTCTCTCGCATCTTCGCCCTAAAGGCGAGAGTGCGAAGGTGCGAGTGGCCCCAACGGAACACCATAGTTAGGGATATTAGGCCTGGTCCAATATTACAGCTTTTATTCTCAATATATCAATTTCATATGATAACTGTCGGAGTTGGCTAATTAACTCTACATTTAGCCGTCAAAAAATCATTTTGACGTGCAAGTTCATCATTCCTGGATATCTATCTTGGGATAGATGGAAGACTTGTCAGTTATTTACATTGTATGCAGGACCATTTTGGATTGGTGGATCTGACATTGTACTAGAGGGAGAATGGATGTGGATGACTAGCAAAAGATTCATTGATTACCGTACTTACACAAATTGGCATCCTGGGCAACCAAGTAACTCAGGAGGACACGAGGACTGCCTAGACCTCGTACCCCCAACGTATACATGGAATGATAATACTTGTTTTAAACAGGAACATTTCATCTGTGAAAAACTGCAAGTATATAAATCATTCTGTATGGGTCTCATACATTAACTTCGTAAACGAATTCATTCATGATATTTTAAAGAGTACCTCAGAGGAAATCTTAATAGATGTCAACGGTTTATCATTTTTATATGTTAAATATTGGAATTATCAAGATTTCAATTGTCATTTTTTTCAGAGCTGGTGATCCAGTTGTTGGATAACTAATGTGAAGTATTTTGTCAAAAATAAAATAATATATTTAATATGCTTACTTGTTAAGAAATTAACTTAAGTACAAACTCTAATGTTTCGTTATTTTCTAAGTACCCGTTTTATATATATGTTGACTGGGTACGTACATAAAAAAATAATATCAACATACTGTTCTGATAAATGACGATTTTGAACATCTCATTTTGAAGCTATTAATGTTACAGATAAGCACACATGTACAAGCCTCTCTAATATTCATGTAACTCAGTTTCTTTATTCTAATTTGGATATAAAGAATCATAATACGAGTATTGTAAAAATAAGCTTTTATATATTTTATGTGATGATTTAAAATGGGTCAAGTTGGCCTCAGTCAGGTCAAGTCACCTCATTGGTCAGGTCAGGGGTCCTTATTTCACCATATTGACCTTAAGGGGTAATTAATTGTACATTGTAAAATGGCTACATTAAAGTTGAAATTGGCATTTATTACTTTTTCCATTTATACACAATTGATGTTTAATATGTTCGTGGATAAAAATGAAAGTGCATTAGCTTTATCTCAAAGTATTTCAATAGAGAGGAACATTTTGGTTGAGGATAGGGACTTTTGTGTTATATATAAAAATATACAAGACTGCTATCTTGTGCTTTATTTTAACAGCGTTATTTTTTGCTTTTTTAAACAATAAAAGAAGCGTATTCTTTAAAGAATGTATTTCAAATACATAAACGTAATGTGTAGAATTATGAATATGTATTTTTTTTTTGTTATATCAATAAAGACGTGAAAGGCGCAAGTACGCTTGAACCCTAATTCTTTCTTATTTACATCCACTTTCTTTAAAATTTTTAAGAAAAATATGAAATGCCTTTTTTTTTATTATAAAAGATAATTCTAGGATGCTTTACTTATTGTTCATGCCTCAATTCTGGTGTAAAGTTACGTTTATTATTTCAAAATTTTCAGTATTGATTTACCGTCCTTTTTATTTAGCTTTATGATATAACTGTATATGAACTTTGCACATCTTAATAACACATTTTTCGCACATGTGAAGGTCAGTTAAAAGAAGAGCACCAGAAAAAAAAGCTTACAGCTTTTCATAGCTAGCTAATACAATTAATTGATTGATTATGGTGGCCACAAACATGGGAAAAATCCTTTTGCATTAACATTGTCCGGCGCAGTTGACCACTGATGCGCGACGTCATAAAAACGTCAATGCGCCTAGCCATTTCATGCGTCAGAAAACTGTCTTTTATTGCACAGGTGTATACTAGATATACATGTAATTTTGTAAAATAATATGGACGTTCTTCCGTATTTTGTAAGTATCTGTTTAATTCTGTTCAGATTTATTGAATTCTCTATTGAATTTATTGATTTCTTTAAAAATTTTGCCTGGATTAAAATGTTTTATCCAGGTGAATATTCAGCTATTAGACATGGGTATTGGCGCGGAAGGGGAAAGGGGGGGGGGCGGGGTAATGAAATATATCTTGGTATAAAAACGATTAAAAAATATCATATATGAATATCATCAATCTATTGAAAATTGTAGTCATGAGTTTAATATGCGTCTAAATTTCATCTAAATGCATTTTAAACTCTCTCCGCTATATGTATATTAAAAAAAAAAATTATGAAATAAATACAGGACTTTTTTTTTTGGGGGGGGGGGGGATTAATCTGTTAACTACAATCATAATGCATCAGAAATTCAACTTTTCCAGTTTATTGAACATAGACACATATCTTTTCGCACATTAAGAAAATTTGTAGTGTTCTCTCTAAAATGTTTTCAGGGCATATTATCAAAGTGGACTACTATAATTTTTCTATAATTAGTATTCGTAATTAATGAGTGCTTTGTTACTTGTACATGTCTGCACGCTTTTGCATTGTCGAAGTATTTTTATGCTCATTTAATCGAGTGTGTATCTGTAAGAAGATAGATTATATATGCATCATATCTTAAAATGTTATTTTGTTTTTGCCTTAATGTGCACTTACTTGTCATAAAGTTTTTACTTATCGACAAATATGTTGATAAACGAATTTACTAACTTTTGTGAAAGGCTGTTGAAAGGAACCAATGAAATATACTGTTCTCAAAAGATTTAACAAAATATAAAGAGTGTTGCCAAATTATCAAATTAATGTCTTCATGTTTTTATCATTTCTTTATTTGTTTGTTTGTTTGTTTACTTATCCATAATTCATTTAATTTATTTATAATTTTTTTTTACAGGCTGTAATTTGTTTCCTAACTTTGGTATGTAAAAATTCTTGTATGAAACCATTTTTTCCTTTCAAATATTTTGGGAAAGTTATAAATATCGAATACATGTTCGTCAACTTTAAATTTTAAAATATTTTCATTAATACAATGCTTCTTTAAATGCATACATAAAGTAGGTCATTCAAAATTTCAGAAAACGTCTTTTCAGTAACAGTCCTTTGATTTGCTAAATGATAGTGTGCTGTTTTGGAAAGGGGGGATCATTGACAATTACAGAATAAACGTGATAACGCCTTTTGAACTACACAACTGTTTATAGAATTAATTCTGAATTATGTTCTTTAGACCCAGAGTAAGACAATCCCAAACAAGGATAAGGTGTGTCATTCTTCCTCAGAATGCGCCAAGGATAGCTGCTGCCGTGACGAGCAGGGAACTCTGGTAGATCCATCCGGGTTATTTGATCACGTGGGTATGTGTCTGTCTCCAAACAATTACATGTAGATACGCGATGCAGAACATATAACAAGAATATACTTTTTTTTCAAAAAGCTTTTAATTACCGTCCTTAGAACAACCTTCAACAGTAAACTGACATACACATTTTTCTCGAGTATTTCCTGACTTCACATTTCTACAACAGCTTTTTTAAAAACATTTTTTTTAACTACAGTGTATATAAATACAGAACAATATAAAGAAAAACGAATAGAACATAAAAAGTATAACCTTTTCATGCAAAAAAAAAAAAAAAAAAAAAAAAAATCTTGTAACTATAATTACGATGTAGGAACATTTCAAGTACTTGAAATAAAATTCAGTTACATTTATTGCAATTTATGGAATTCCATATACGACAGCCAACTGCTTACTCACTCTCTACCATCGGCTCATACATTCACCTCTGTCGTTGGCTCGCGTACATCACAGTGATAAGCACAAGAAATAGTGCGTTTGTTTTAATTCATTATAATTAAATGCCTGCACTAATATTCCTCTTTTGAAGTAGTTGTTTACTAAGTATATCTAGAACTGTTAGTTTAATTTGAAATAATCCTTGGAATATCATGTTTTTTTACGATATGTCAAAAATCTTGACGTGAGCCCATCGCAGAGGTGTCTGAGAGAGAAACGAACGACAACTCTGCAAGGGAGATTGCTGCTTACTGCCAACTGCTCACTGCTTACTGTCAACTGCCACTGCACATAGATGATATTCCCTGTTTTATTATCTTTAATATCTTTAACACGCATGCTTAATTGAATAAACCCTATGACAGATTACAATAATAACGAAAATTGGCGGATTCAGGAATTTTTAAACAGTGGTGGCAAGGAAGGAATAAATAGGAGGAAAGAGTATTCTCACTTAAATACAATACATCTAATTCCCACATTTCCTTGCAGGCAAATAATTCAATAGATTTTTTGACGGGGGGGGGGGTTATTAAAGTCTTACCATATTGACGTCAGAAAAAATTGGGGGGCTTTTAGTAGGATCTTGGGTTAAATTTGTTGGTATATGCATTTATATCAGAAATACTAATAAAAAAAATCATAAAGCCTTTTACTTTACTCTATGTAAAAAGCAATTTCAGCGTAGAGGGGGGGGGGGCGCACAACCCAACATAATTCCCTTGACAATTAATATAAAAAAGAACTACTATATATAGTATATGTTGGGAATTTAGTGGTTACGCCCCCACCAACACCACGAATGTTTTTACAGATCTAACATTAGCCATTAAAATGATTTACATAAGACACATATAAAAATTCCCACACATAGGTACTTTTCCTAGGGTAAAAAGAAACACCGACAAATATGATATTACTACATATTTAAACTAGGCAAAAGTTATTTGTTATTATAACTTTCAGTAATATTTCTAGTATAAATACATATACCAACAAATGTTACTCAAGACTACGAAAGCCCATTAAGCTCATTTTCGTAGGTTAAAAAAAATATATTTTTCGCGTTATAACGCGAAACTTTCGCGAATAAACGCGTAACTTTCCCTGTAAAACAGAGACATTTGCATAAGTTTCCATTTTCTTTTACTTTAATGATCTAGTTTATTCGTTACAATGAAAAACGAAAGACTTTTTTGAACTTGGATTATCACAAGCTGAAATTTTATGTTTTTCACGCCATTGAATGTGTCTTTCCTCTTTCTAAATCTTTTTTGCCGTCACATTTTGTCTTTCTCAACGCTGTTCAAACATTTTCAAAGTCTCTGCGAGTTTTTTCCAAATTGAAACTTTCTGGAAAATGATCCCCCTTTCCGGTGTAATTTAATGACGAAAAGTAACCCCCGTAGAATATTGACCAGGGGGTCAAATTTGTACGTAGAAAAATGATCCTGGGTCAATATTCCAAGACAAGTAGGGTCATTTTTCGACCGTAGAAAACCCTTCCATAATTCTACGGTAATTCTACGACTCCTCTCACGTTGAAAAATGACCTCCATAGAAATCCTTCCCCCCTACTTTTTCACAATATTATATAATAAAACATGTTAAAAACCTTTAGAAATGAGATATGATACGCGTTAATTTTTCCCCAGAAAATTTCAACATAAATGTGGACGGGTGAGAAAAGAAAAAATATTTTGTTTTCTGGAGATAAAAAAAAATTGAGTCGGGCCATTTTAGCCAGTCGGTCGGGAGAAGGTTAACAAACATTTTTTTTAAAGATGGTCTTAGCTTAATTGTCTCCAAATCATGCACTGCAGTTATAGAATTTCTAATATGTTTTCTACCTCCTTCCCCAGTCCTTTTCATAATTTAAGGAGGAATACCACACCAAAATTTTATTTAATAGATCTATAAGACATCCCTTTTAAACTATGGTTGCAGCACTGAAAGACTGATATTAGCTCTTAATTTCTCGTACTGTAACTTGATGAATTACAACGCAAATTTGGGGATTATATCAGTTAGATATTCAGGAACTTGGTTATTGTAGTTAATCTAGTATTTTTTCTTCTTTCATGTAATGGTTCCCATCCAGTTTCAAAGTATAGTGCATCTTTAGAAGCTAACAGAGTTAAGAGCTAATTTTTTAGCTATCGCCTACATTACATCCACCCCACACCAAGGAAGCATATTCCAATTGGGGTCTAAGAAAGGTTGTGTACATGATTGAAAGAGTTTTCCGATTTACAACAAATTTGATTTTTTTGTAATAAGCTTCTTTGCAAATAAAACTTTTTTTTTTCATTTTCTCAGAATAAATACCCAAAAAATCGTATTAAATACTTCTTATAACTATAACATACCTGAATGCAGATTGCAAACATATAAGTCAACTTTCATCCCCTTGTTATTGACGAATTGAACTCATTACCTCTTATTGTAAGAAATTCTTCCTCATTGTCTATCTTTAAAAAGTCCATTTCTTACAATAAACCTATGCCACCCTCTTATTTCAGTTACGGGATTCGACGCTTAAATATATTACATACAAGGCTTCGACACAACTGTGTGCTTAATAGCGATCTTTTTCGATCTAATGTAATTTTGAGACCCTTGTGTTCTTGTGGAAAAGTGGAGGATACTCATCATTATTTCTTTTCATGCAAAAAATATACAGAGGCCAGAAAAGAATTTTGACTCATTTCTGCGAATGGGAAAATTACAGATGATACTCACACTTTATTGTGGGGAGATGAAACGTTAAACGATGTTGAAAATGAATACTTATTTTCCATTGTACAAACATTTATTAAAAAGTCAGGTTGTTTTGGTTGATAATATTATTACTTTTTACGAATTCTATACAGCTTGACTGTGTATTATAAAAGAAATATATTATATTGAATATTGTTCCTCTGATTATTATGCTTTTCTGTATTTATTTATTTATTTTAAGCTGAAACCCATATATGTAAATATGTTTAGTATAATTTATATATAGGGGAAGGTCGTATTAATTTTTTAGAACTTTTGCCCAATCCCATTTGTAAAGTTGATAGATAATACGTTCAAATCAAAGATGCTTTATGGTTTAAAATTTGCTATTAATGAATGCATAATAGGAATGTCTAATAAAATGTGTAAAGAGAGGTGGAACATTTTAATGTTTTAAATTGAATATTATTTATGAATATAAAACACAGAATTTGTAAATATTTTTTGTACCTATGGATAAAATCTTCATAAAACTAGTCACAACGAGGGAGATTATGTTAGTCAATCATATTTTAAAAAGAAATTGAAATAATTGAGAGCTAATATCGGCCTTTCAATGCTGAAACCATAGTTTAAAGGGGATGTCTTAAAGATCTTTGAAAAAAATAAATTGGTGTGGCATTCCTTCTTAAATTCTTCCTTCAGACTTAGAATTAAATGCTTACTTCAAGTGTTTTACAATTTATAAACTTTATGTACAGTACATGTAGATTGAGGAGGGTTCCTATGCGACAGAGGCAACTTTGGTACAATTCTTTAAGTCCACAATTTGCTCGAGTTTCTTTTTTTTTTGATTGAATGGCTCCATTACTTGAGTGAATGAGTTTAATTTTCCCAGAGGCTTTGCTAGGACCTGTAATAAGGTGAACATTTACTCAAATTACGTTGATAGTCCAACGGTTAATCATTTAACACTTTCCATTCAAAACCGTTCAGTACATGTAGAAATCTATGGTTAGCAGAGTAGAACCATGCAACAAGAAAAGATTATACATAGTTTTATTAAGAGTACGTATTTGAACAAATACCAAACGAACGTTTATATGCAATAAGAAAATATGAAATGCCGTGTAATCCGTAGAACAACGAGTGAGTCATGATGCAAGTGCATTTTGGTTAACATTGAAAGAAACGACACGATGTCTGAACAAGATAAAAATTATGATAATATAGTAAACTGAAAGCATACAAGGGAAAAGGATAGTGAATGTAAAACCCTTATTACATACTAGATCAAATATAAGGGTTATTTATAAACCTCCTCTCTGCATGTGAATAATTTAGGACATTAGCCGCACATCTATTTTTCATAACGGTACAACAAATAATATCCAACTTAGATTTCAAGCTGACATATGTTCCTTGCATGTTAGTAAGCAAATAAATATTGTTTTCCAAGCATATAAAATTAAATGCGCAAACATATAACGCAATGGACAAATTGTGAACCTGGAAGCAGTATTTTCTGTTGTTTGAAGTTATCGCCCTTATAATTTTAAATTACATTCATTTTTTGCAAAAATAAACAAATTTGCCAAATCCAACTTAAAGTAAAAAGATCAAGAGTAAACATTTTATAATTTCTTTTCTACTAACAGTAAGAATTTTGTCTTTATTCTGGAATAAGTATTTTTTCCATTAATATTATTGTAAATAACTTTGAAACATCTATGTATCAGGCATATATAATTTTTTTTCCACAAAGCCTAATAAGAAACGAGTCAAACGGTCAAAAAAAAATAAAGAGAGAGGGAGATAGTGGGGAAATAGTGGAGAATGAGAGAGAGAGAGAGAGAGAGAGAGAGAGAGAGAGAGAGAGAGAGAGAGAGAGAGGAAGAGGAAGAGGGGGAACGAGAGAGTGGGGAGAGAGGTGACAGGGAGGGGAGAGAGAGAGAGTGTGTGGGGAGAGAGAGAGAGAGAGAGAGAGAGAGAGTGGAGGGGGAGAGAAAGTGGAGGGAGGGGGAGAGTGGGGAGAGGGAGAGAGTAGAGTGAGAGAGAGAGAGTGGAGGGGGAAGGAGAGACAGAGTGTGGAGAAAGAGGGGGACAGTGGAGGGAGAGAGAAAGGGGGAAGGGTTAGTGAGAGGGGAGAGAGAGAGTGGTAAGAGAGAGAGTCGAGAGAGGGGGAGGGATAGAGGCGGGGAAGAGAAAGTCGAGAGACAGAGAGTAGGTGGGAGAGAGAGTGAGGGTAGAGAAAGTGGTGAGAGAGGAGAGAAAGTGGGGAGGGAGAGAATTTGGGGGAGAGTGGGAGAGAGAGGTGTGGGGAAGGAGTGGGGAGACGGAGGAAGAAGGATAGAAGATGATATTACCGTGTATAGACTTGTGTTAAACACCACTTTCTTTGTAAAAAGCCTAATTTTGTGAAGGCTTTGTTGACACTAGCAAACAACAAAAGACACTGGTAAAGGTTTTGAGCTAATCACGTTTTATGCCCTGATATCGAAGGTCAGAGGCATATTGTTTCAGTCCTGTGTGATATTTTTAAGATTTATATGAAATATATGGAGATAACGAACAGTATTCAAGCTCAAAAGTCCATTAAACAATACAAAATAGGAGCAGAGCAAACACGGGCCTCCAAACATTAGAGGTGGGATCAGGTGCCATGGAGGAGTGAGCATCCCCTGCCGACCGGTCACACCCGCCGTGTGCTCCTTGTCATGATCGGGAAATAACGGAAAAATCCGTCGACAATTCAGTGTGTAAATAATGGCCTAACAATTAGTATGAAAAATGTCAGTCAGCATTTGACTCAATGATAAATTGTATTTGCTTACAAGGTCATTGTATCGACCATAGAACTTACGAAATGATGACTTTAAACGAAACAGCTGATATTCTTGTTTCATCAACTTGTTTGTCAATAATTTGCCTCGTTTTAGAAATTGTACATACGTAGAGCATGATCTTGCATATCGAGTCAACTGAGATATATATACCCCGTATGTAGGTGATGAAGGTATATTGCTGCATAAGTAAGGGAAGTTGACGATTGAAAAGTTAAAGTCATCACGTTTATCATAAAGCTTGGTTGTTAGATTACCATCAACGTCTTTTTCAAGTAAAATATCCAGAAATCCAAACTTAAGGTGAATATTTCACATATTTAATCTTCCCTATATTTTTATGAAAAGAAGTTTAAGACTTCATTCATAGAAATTAAAAGATAATTATTAAATCAAATTTTCTTAACAATCGCTCTTTCTAAAAGTAATTGGGAAGAGTTTTAAAACGTTAATCTTTCTAATAACTTATGAAGAAGAAAGAAGACTTTATTTTGTTTTTTGCACATTTAGATAATTAAAACTGTGGAAACTGAAAATTTTTAAGTTATTATTATTAAGGTATTTCATCACTAATAGCAAATGATTCAATGAAATTGAATACATATCAGATGTGTAGGTGTTGAATACTCAGTATATTTATACATAATTCCCATTTATTACTATAAGCATGGATCGGAAGGGTGGGATCTGTCCTACAGTACTGTAATTTATGATCTTGAAATTTGGTAAGAGTTATCTGTTTTTAATTAATAAATAAAATTAAACTTATCTGTTAAAAATACCGCGTTTTCAATTGTCATTCTATTTCTAATGTTTAATGCATCTTTCTACCACAATTTTCATTGATATTGTTATTTGAATTGTTAAAAAATTTCTTGTCCCCGTAAACTTCAAAGCAATTATGTTAATTACTGCTTAGTAAAATACATTTTTGAAACTTTCTCTCGGTAAATCCTTTTGTACTATAATATGCTTTAAATAAATAACAAAGTACCAGTATTATGTACATGATGAACATTTAAGGATAGAGAATTTGGTCCTATTAGGGATGGAAAACCTTAAATGGGATAAAAGAAATCAAAGAAAGCGCATATTCTTGTTCTAAGAGTCAAAGAACATCATTATAGCCTTTTTATGTTTTCCTTTAATAAAAACTGAAAAAGAAGATTTGTTGTTTCGCGGGGGGAAGTTTTGAAAATAAATTTCCATTTTCCGTTAATTTCTATAATGAAATAATTTCTCAAATTAAAGATTTATATTTCTTTGTTTTCCAAAATAAGTTATGTTTTACACACACGGATCTAGAGGGGGGTCAGTGGGAAGGGGGGTCCGGACCACCCCCTGGAATTTGTAAAGTTATTTAATGTACATGTATATACTAAACCAACTAAAACTGACCTTGGACCCCCCCACCCCCCCCCCCGTAAAAAACGCGGATCCGTGTTAAGTTGATCTGAAAAGTCATAGATATGAAGCATAAGATGTCACCCCCCCCCCCCTCCCCTTGTGAAGAAAGGAGAAGGTATGGTAAAAGCCGACTTTGGCCCCTTATTGATATAAAAATCAAAACACAGTTTAAATTGTGATAATTTGCAGTTGAGAACTTAAAATGTTGTTTGTTTTAAAATCAGTAATAATTTTGATTCAAAGAGTGCAGGGAGGCCACAAGAGGGTGCCAAAGTTGGACATTTTTCCGAATTTTCTCAATTCTGATGGAATTTTGTCAAAGTTGAGATACTTTTCACTTTGGGAAACATAGAGCACAAACTTGCGTATCTGAGATTTTTATACACAAGAAGCATCTGATACTAGTGCATGAAATATATAAATCTGGTAGATAGGCAAGCTTGTGCTCTGTGTTTTCTGAAATAAAATGTGCTATAAAATTGATGAAAATTTGCATAAAAATGAGAAAATTCGGAAATTGACATATTTTGTGACCTTCCTATGACCTTTGTGTACCCAATAACTTAGAATCAATACTCATTTTGTAAGAGGGATGACAACAAGTTAGTAATGATGACCTGTTGCATCGCTCCTGGAAACACCAGAAATCAGGGGCCAAAAAGGGGTCTTAACCTATCTTGTCCTTTCTTGGTTGGATTTTTTTGGACTGGGGTGGACCCCTCCTGTAAAAAAATTCCTGGATCCGCGCCTTGTTTTATGAAAATTCACATAAATATCAATATAAATATGAAAATTTATTCAAATATGTGTGACAGTTGGCAGTAAGCAGTGAGCAGTTGGCAGTAAGCAGTTGGCTGTCATATATGGAATTCCACAGCAATTTTCTCTTGTTCGTTAACTTTTTTTTTAAAGATTGAAATTTTTTAAATGTAAAATTGTTAAGTCGTACGAAAATTAGATCATCAGCAAAATGTCGGTATATCCCTTCAGTGAACAGCATTTCAACCAATGAAATAATGCAAATTATCACATCATGCATTTCCTACCAGTCACTAAAGAGAGAAAAACGTCCTTAATTTCAGTTTTGCTATGTTTCTTCTCCGAAAATTATCTTTACAGACATTGAAAGGTATCATTCAAACGAAATCGAACATTTCAAAGTCTGTAATTGGAGTATTATTTATTCTTGACCATTTTGCTAATAACTTTTGAAGTTGAAAAATACCTCTTATTTATATTTTTATTGTTATACAAAATCATCTTATTTATATTTTACGTCAGGACCTGTTACCGAGGTACTCAATGGCACCTGTGTTCCTCTCCACGCTCAGTTTGACGAGAATTGTGGGGAATCGTGTCCTTGTGACCTGACACAAGGTAAATATACTTGTTTTATATTTAAATTGATCGGATTCAATATTTGCTTTGCATAAACATACATAATTAACAGGTAAAAAGACTTGTAGATCCGTATACTCCCTCTTGAAAAGAGACATAATATAACCCTTCATGTAGAAAAATAAAATATATTCCCTTTACCAATGCTATATTGTATTATTGTCCCACGGTTTTGGAAAAGATGAAAATCTAAGATTGAAATTAAAAAAAATCGTAAAAAACCTTACTCGAGGTTTCGACTCATTTATTTAAATATTTTTAGGTGCCTGAAATGCCTTATCTCAACTCTCTATTTTTTAGGATTGGTGTGTGACAGAATCGTCTCGGACAACAAATTCACCCCGTCTATTTGCAGACCAAAGGATGTGGTCAGTAAATGGACCAATGACTTCCTGGACTGTTGGAACGATGCTAATTGTGTGCTTCCTCTGTAACTTATAAAATATACCACTGTTAATCCTTTCCAGTAGGAGTTATATTCATTTAGCTTAAACAAATGGAATGCAAAGGTTGAGCTACACAGATTAACGCTTGACAACAGTTTAAAAATCATAATCAGACTTTATAATTTTTGATTTACAGAAAATATCGGGAAAAATGTTTTATTATAATCGAAGCTTAGGCCGTTCCTGTAATAAAGAATGAAACAAATTTTCATTGACTTTCAACATGTTCAAGATTGTAACAGATTTTTTCATAGACTTTCATATTTAAAACATGTAAAATGATATTTAAACGTACGATAAGGACCATTGTTAAGTTATACAGTTAATGAATCTGTGTTGCAATCAAACGGAATTATGATTAATGTGCTAAACTAATTTAATTAAACAGCGAAAAGGTAAATTCAGAACTTCGTCGTGCATTTGATTTTGTATACATGTAGTAAACTGTACCCAGAAAACACAAAAATTAATTAAAGAATGAAATTACATTGTATTTTCCTGTATTTCTGAATCAGGAACCTTCAAGTTTGTAAAAACAAGATTGCAGGTAAAATCCAGTCGCAATATTTAGCCATAATTATTTATATAATTAAACATATCTACAACTAGTGACCTTGACATACGTAAACTGTAAATGTCATTTGTATTTGGCCAGTAATATACAGTTAATCTTGAGAAGCAATGAATATTAAATTGCTAAGTTAGACATTTGAGAATTTTTCCTATTATATATATTTCATTGAAATTTTAGCTATATGAAGTTTACTTCCCGGCAACTCAATTTTTAATTTATGTTTGTATTTTGCCAAAAAATCACATTGACCATTTCGACTGTATAAAAGTGACAGTCTTATTCAAGGTTAACAATTTAAAGCTCTTTTACGGAAATTTTACCTTTCATCCAAAGCCTCTATAGTTGATCATTATAAAAAAGAAAGCTTATAATTATCATCTAAAGAATGGTGCCAACACTTTGTATAAAGACAATGATCTTTTAAACTAGGGGATTAAAAGATCCCTGTTAATGCTAATAAAGCTCCAAAGCATAGCTTTTGACGTAAAACGAACTGTTTGCTAAAGTACGTAATTGCAACGTCACTGATTTGGGCCAGGCAAAAGCTAAAGTTTCATAAGTTGCATGTACAATGACCATGTGTCAAGTGATCGTTAATTGACGCGTGTGTGGCAACGCACTTTGAAAAAAAATTACGCACTTTGAAATCTTTTTATTCAGAGTGCGTTAAAATTGGGACAAAATCAACGCAAATTCAATTTTTTTTCCAAAGTGTGTTAAGAGTGTACATCAACATTTTTTTTTTACCATGGAGACACTTAACGCACCTTGAAAAAATATGTAAATATGTATTTAAAAAATTCTGGACATAGATTTTAGGAATAGACAGCATTATTTTGATATATTTCTTTTAAAAAAAAAAATAGACAGCATTATTTTGATATATTTCTAACAATAAAAGTGATGAATTGATCTACACTCATCGAGAACGAGGAGAAGACAGGAAGGAGGTCCCTCAGCTCAGCTCTTTATCTTTCCTACCCAAATGTATGAAATGCTTTAAGTCATTTTTTGACCCCTACACCTAACCAACATCACAGACTGGATAAAATAAAAAAAGGAAACAAAATTGTGCTATTAAACAATTATTCCTCCATTATTTCTGAAAGATCCATTTAAGAACATTTACAAGAACCTTTGGGAACAAGACAACCCCTAAAAATCCTTTAAACGTCTATATCTCAGATCCTAAAATGACGTCATCACCGAAAAATTGTCCACTTAGGTTCAACTTCTTATTTATCATACTAAAATTTGCAAGAATATTGACCAAACCGTGCAATTCTTTTTCAAAGTGCGTTAATGTGGTCGATATAAACGCACTTTGAAATTGATTTTTTTTTTCAAAGTGCGTTACAGTAACTTGGTCCCAAATTAAACGCACTCTGAAAAATTTTTTCAAAGTGCGTTGTAACACGCGCGGCTTTGATAGGAACTGGACACAAATTTTATAATTAACACAATAGCATCAGTGACTAGTTTCTTCTGAGAACATATGAAACATCAATGTTTAACCTTTGTAACACAATTTTCTCATTTTTATGCAAATTTTCATCGATTTTACAGCACATTTTGTTTCAGAAAACATAGAGCACAAGCTTGCCTATCTACCAAATTTATATATTTCATACACTAGTATCAGATGCATCCTAAGTATAAAAATCTGATATAGGCAAGCTTGTGCTCTATGTTTCTCAAAGTGAAAAGTATCTCAAATTTGATGAAATTCCACCAGAAAAATCGGAAAAGACGGAAATTCGGGAAAATATCCTACTTCTGACCCTCTTGTGGCCTCTGTGTAAGCTTTGAATCAAAATTAGTGCTGGTTTTAAAACAAGCATATTTAAAACTATCACAATTTTAACTGTGTTCTGATTTTTACATCAAATAAGGGGCCAGATTCGGCCGTTACCATACCTTGTCCTTACAACTTTTCGAGGTTCTTTGCTTATTTAAAAATGCCTTAAGAAAGAATGCCAATCATATACAGTACCGACCGGACACAACCTAACACCAGAGCGAACCCAAAGCGCACCCCGGGTTCGCTTTCTGGGTTCGCTCGGGGTCCGCTACGGGTCCGCTTTCAGAAATTTTGGGTGCGCTCTGGGTTCGCCTCGGGTTCGCTCTGCGTTCGCTCGGGGTCAGCTCTGGGTCCGCTAGAGCGAACCCGGCGTTCGCTTTCTGGGTTCGCTTTACGCACTCATGCGCGAAGCGGACCCCGCTTCAATCTTGCCGCCAGTAAGCTCCGCCCCTTGTTTATTCCAAATACAGCAGTGAAATCGATCATTGTTGTTTTTGTGGCGATCGATACATGTGCAGGTGCAGTGGCTGCAATGTTATTGTTGACAACATACACGAACGATCACGTTTTACACAAAATAGTTTAAAATATTTAGGAGTGGATATTTAAAAAAAAAAAAAAAAAAAAAAAAAAAACAAAAAAAAAAAAAAAAAAAAAAAAAACTTATTAATAGATATTTTAGATTAAAAATATTTACTGCTGCAATTAATCGACTTTGGAAAACTGGGAAAAAAAACTATAAAAAAAAATATTTTTGAAACTACCTGTAAATAAGATTTAATAGGTATTTTAGATTACAAATAATTATTAATGTAATTCTCCGACTTAAAATGTTTTTAATCTTTTTGATACGTAAAAATGTAATTTATGATCGAATGCAGCATGTTCTATCATATGATATAGGTTGACTGTGAGTTTTGATTCTATTGAATTTTATAATATGCAGTATGGGGGTAAACATTTTTTAAAAAGTGGCCTAAATAATGAATGAATACTTATATTCATCTTTCCATTTATGAATTCAAAAATCAGCATTTTTTTTTAATTCATTCATCTGCAGAAATTAAAATTATAATAATAAGTATCAGGGATAAAAAGTAACCCCGACAATCATGTCGTGTACATTTGTCGACTAATTATTTATGTAAGTATTGGGAATTAATAATTTTTTTTGTAAAAATGTACATTTCTGATGTATTGATATAAAAATATCATGACCACAATAAGCAGTTAACGTGACCCATCATCAGAGAAAAAAAATCGCTAAACATCTTAACTATACGCTTAATCATTTAAAGTTGCGCTATTTAAAAGAATACAATACTGTACGACTTATTATATTGTTTATTTACTACCGATAATTAGTTCGTTCAATAATGTACATGTAAATCGCGCGTTGTTTTTTTTCTCCTTTTTATCTCAGTTAATAATAATAATAATAATAATAATAAAAAAACAAGGTAAATCAAGCTTTACATTATTTTTTTGTAAAAGATAAATCAAAATAGTACCATAGCAGTTTACGATTGGACATACTGTACATGTACATTTATGCTGTTCTTTATTCTTTTTTTTTTATGTATTTGTTTATTTCTTTTTTTTTACTTTTTTTCAATTAAGAAGATTAATAATTTTGATGTTGATCTGGATTTAAACAAAAATGTAAATTAGAATTATAAAAATAAAATAATTGAATGAAAGCACGTACATATACATACTCTTGTACAGTATCTTGAGATAATGAAATGTTATAATTTGTCAAAATACTTTTTTTTCTTTTTTTATTTTTTAGTAACAATTGTGATAACCATTATATTCTTTTATACATTAAAGAACTTTTTGTCTGATAAATTTACGCAATATAAATAGATGGATTTTAAAAATAAAGAATATAAATGTGTAAATATAACATGCTACCTAGATATTAATTTATAAATATAAATATTTTTTTAATCGTGTTAATAATAATTTCACACTGGACATAAACACGCTTTGCTTGTAGAATGTTTTATTTACATCGAATGACAAACTGGCATGCTGATCGGTCAACGCGCTGGTTGGTTAACACGTCTTATCGCTAATCCTGATTGACAGATCAGTTACGCAACACCGAACGCGCGTTCGCTTGCTGGGTTCGCTACTGAATTTGGGGTTCGCTTTCGGCGTTCGCTCTGGGTCCGCTGCGGGTTCGCTCGGGGTGCGCTCCGGGTTCGCTCGGGGTCCGCTATAGCGAACCCGAAGCGAACCCGAAGCGAACCCAGGCAGCGAACCCGGGGTGCGCTTTGGGTTCGCTTTCTGTTAGGTTGTGTCTGGTCGGTACTGTATAATAGCGTTCAAGGTATCGTCCACATCTGTTTATCCAGTGATTTTTTTAAATCAACAATTAATTAGTCATAGGAAGCTTTATTCAGTTAAGTAGTATTATAAGAGTGGCCTCTTATCTATTACGATCTCTGTAATATTGTCGATATTCACACAAACGTGCATGGAGTGACCTCTAATCTTAGAGGCACATACATGTATGTACATCTTCATTCTGAGTTGTATTGATATATCAATGGAAGTTGTATTGACCATTTTGGTGGTTTTTCTTCAATGTTCACTAGCATTTGGAGAAAAAA